TGTGTGTGTGTGTGTGTGCGTGTGTATGTGTGTGTATGTGTGGGTATACGTGTACACGTGTTTGTTAGTGTGTGTAAGTGTGTGCAAGAGTGTGTACGTGTGTGTGTGTGTGTGTGTGTGTATTTGTGTTTACCAGCTTTTCTTTATATATAAGGGTGCGTACGTTGTGTAAATATGTGTAAGTGCATGTACGTGTGTGTAAGTGTGTATAAATGTGTGTAAGTGTGTGTACGAGTGTGTACGTGTGTGTGCACAATAAAATGTGAATCTCCCTCACCACGTAGAGAAAAAAGTTCTCCCTATCTGTTTGAGCACTATTCTAATCTAAAGTAGGTATTTTCACATCCCAATCAACACAGTTTATAAGATTAAAGAGGCTGGCTGCGACACGGACTGTGAGAGATACAACATCCAAACAGCACAAAGACTGAGACACTTGATAAAGATTCTCCCCACTCAAGAATGGAACTCGGATCTCCTGCGTGCGACAGTGAAACGCCTTACAGCTACACCATAGACATGAGTGTTTGAGCACTTAAAGAAAACAAAGTAACAACACAACCACAACAACAATAACCACAACAACAACAACAACAACAACAACAACAAAAACAACAACAACAACAACAACAACCACAACAACCACAACAACAACTATCAAAATAACAACAACAACTGCAACAGCAACCACGACAGCAACAACGGCAACCATCACAGCAACAACAACAACAACAACAACAACTACAACTACACAGGACGAATTCCCTCACCTGTCTGTTCCTTGTGTGGCTGCAACAGAAGTAAAAAGTCACGTGAGACATGACCCGACATGAGGAAATATGGTCGGGGTTTTTTTCCAGTAGAGATTTTACGGCGCTCGCAACAGCATAAAGTCATATGAGCGCCAGAAGATTAGGTGTTACAAGAGAGTGACAAACATAAAAAAGAAGAAGTGGAGAAAGAGAAAAGGACGATAGATGTTTGATAGGAAAGAAGAAGCATCGTTTTTAGGACCAGTGGGTTAACCCAGATTTCTGGGATTTTCTAGAATTCTTAGCCAACACCGAAGGTGGGTATTTTTTCTACCTATAGAAGAAGTTTGGTTTCATTGCTGAATATATTTGTTTGATTATAGAGAAAACTCTCTTGTCTTTTAAAGAGACTGAACAAGGGGCAAAAACTTACCTTCGATTTTCTCAAAACAGCTTTGGTTATACAGAAAACTCTCCTTGTCTTTTAAAGACACTGAACAAGCGGCTAAAACTTTACCTTCGATTTTCTCAAAGCAGAATTTTTTTGGGATAGCCCCTTTGTGCTTAAAAGCGACCACATGAAAAGACGTGATTAATCTGTACTCTCTAAATGACGTACAATCAGGAAGCGACAAATGCAATTTCTAGGACATTTGACTTCACAAGAAGACTACGAACATCTTGTTCTTACTGACGTGAAGAAACAGAAGGAAAAGAAGGCAAGGCTAGGCCCAGACATATATGATTTGGAAAGTCTGAAGGTGGGTGTTAGGGAAACACCAGGGTAATTGGTCACTTTTAAGGGCAAGTGGGCTAATCAGATTTCGGGGATTGCTAGAAATCTTAAGCTACACAAAAAGTGGGCATTGCCCTACGTATAGGAGAAGTTTGGTTTCATTGTTGTGAATATTTGTTCGGTTATACAGAAAACTCTCCTTGTCTTTCACAGAAACTTAATACGGGGCAAAAACTTTACCTTCAATTTTCTCAAAACACCTTTTGTTATATAGAAAACTCTCCTTGTCTTTTAAAGAAACTGAACAAGGGGCAAAAGCTTTACCTTCGATTTTCTTAAAACATAATTTTTCGGGATAGCCCCCTTGTGCTTAAAAGCGACCATGTGAGAAGACGTGATACACCTGTACACTCTAAATGACGTACATTCAGGAAGCGACAGATGCAATTTCTAGGACGCTTAACTTGGTATGTGGTCGCTTTTAAGCACAATGGGACTATCCCGAATAAATGCTGCTTTGAGATAACAGAAGGTAAAGTTTATGCCCCTTGTTCAGTTTCTTTAAGGGGGGGGGGATATACCTGAAGGCTATCTCGCTTATTACTTGACCGAATTTTACCAAATTTCGCACATATAACAAGCATAGTAAGGAGTCGTATAATCGGCAATCAAATTTGAGAAAAGGTTTTGTTTCCATGGATACAGCGGCCATATTGGATTTTGTTGACATGTCTTACGTAATGAATACCGCACTTATCGCTCTTGGAAATTGATTGTTTTTTTGCATGCGTGTTTACAAACATTAGATCTAAAAATGTGTCTGTTGTTTTTTTCCTAAACGGATTAGACATTTTTTATGAGTTTTTTCCTGAGGTAGCATTCAAGTTTGCAAAAAATCCGTGAAAATCCACACTCCAGACACCACCAACAAAAGTCTATTCAAAATATCAAAAATTCAACAGATAAATTTTTAGTATTACATCTTTTCTTCATTCCGTGAAAATTTCATGAAGATTAGATGAAAAATGGTGGCGTTATTCACAAAAGTATAGAAAAAAGTCGCATTCTGAGAAAACGGCCGATA